TATTATTACATCATCTTCAACATGCAAGGCTGGAAGAGGACCCTCTGGATCATCGGGGCCAGCTCCTATCAAGGAGGCCCAGTGTGTGTGTGGGGAATCGAAAGCCCAACTTCTGGCTCTCACTTGAGGGAGGGGGAGCGCTTGGCGTGGCCTGGGAGGATCCTGGCCCCCAGGTATCTGGAGCCCATCTCTCCCTGTGTAGGGGTGTGTATGTGTGTGTGTGTGAGAGAGAGGGGGGGTCAAGGTGGGCATGGAGCCGTTTTAAGTCGTGGGCAGGGAACGGGGCTGGGCACGGCCGGCCCAGAGTTACCTTTTCAAAATAGGTTCCGGGGAGCTGAATCTCCAAGTGATGGTTTCCGTCAAACTTCACCACCAGACCAAAATCTGTCTCAAGGAAAACGTAGATGCCGCTGGTGGTGATGGAGACACCGGGAACCCGACCCTCTACAGGGGTTCTCACGCGCAGCCCGTCGATCTGTGGGCAAAGAGAAGAGAGCGGATTCTTCCTGAGTTGCAAAACGAAGCACATGCCAGCAACAGAACCCAAGGGTGGCAGAAAGGCCTTTTCATGTTGCCATGTTGTTTTTTTCCTCCCCTTCAAGGCCCTCTTTGCTAATGCTCCTTGCGAGAAGTATCGAGGGTTCTTTGTCTAGGGGTCCAACGGGACGGGGCCCTTACCAGCACCCGCCGAGCTTTCTGCAGAGTGATGGTGTGTCCAGCCACCTCCACGGTCACTTGGCGGAGGTAGGACTCGTCCGGCTGACCACGTTCCTCGTTTTTGCCCGTTATGTTGAAGGACGGAAGGTGAGGGTCATCATCGCACACGGTCACCAGCGTGTAGGTGCAGGTGCCCATGAACGAGACCATGGTGCCATCAAAGGTGTAATAGTGGGGGTCTCCGGCCACGTGGCAAGCAGCCACGCCTGGGGAAGAAAGCCAAAGGTGGAAAGGTTACACGGCCCACTCTGGAATAGGTAGGGGCGTGGCTGCTGAAGCCGCTCGTGGCTCAGAAATGAGACGTGGGGGCTTTGGAGAGCGGCTTTTCAAAAGTAGTTCATCGTGTAACTCACTGGAAGCCCCAGAGAGAGATTTGTGATGGTTAACACTGCCAGAGAAAAGTGTTCAGTGTGGATGTGGGAGTGTACAATGATCGTACTTTTCAGTGTATAAGACTACCCCCTTTTCCAACCCAAAATTTCTTTCTTTGCAAAAAGCTGCTTTCCTCCTCCCCCTCCTTACTTCTGTGTATAAAACAACCTTCAATTTTTCTTCTAATTATTTTAGGAACAAGTGTCGTTTTATACACTGAAAAATATGGTACACAAACATGCACCCCTGCATGGCTTATGTCTTCTTGCATTATTCGCTATCTTATGCCTTTTAGTTCCTTTTTAGAAAAACATCCCTTCTAAAAAAAAATAAGGAGGTCCCAATTTTGCAATAAAGACCCTTCCAAACATCCATAGCTCCCCTCCGCTCTTTCAAAGACCCATCCTTTTGGAGATGCTTCAGAGGAAGCTGGCAGGCAAGGAAAGAGGGCAAGCTCAGCAGGCTTTTACAACCCCTGTCAGCGTTCTTAATTCTTGCTTTTCATCATTTGTAGTTCTAAAATGTTGATTAGCATATTAAATAATTGAAGTGTTTCATTTCTAGCCTGCCTTTCTCCCTTGGCGGGAGAAAGCCCAGCACGGCTCCACTTAAAATATTTTAAAATCCACAAATACCGTAATTCAAACGTTTTCCACTTGGCCACCTTGGGTCCCAGAAGGGGCAAAAAGTGGGACAGAAATTAAACAAACAAATGAATGAATAGATTAATTAAAACCAACAAATACGTTGGGGCTAAAAGGTGCCTTAAAAATGCAAACAGGCACATGAGGAAAAGCCACCATTTGATCATCATCCTACTAAGAAGAAGCATGTTTTTATATTCCCAACGTGACAACCTACCCCCCCATGGATAGCAAGCCAGCCAGCCTCGTGACTCATCACATGCTAATTCCAAGACGACGTAAAGGAGTTCCCTCTGGCCCCGGGAAGAGGCCTTACCCATGTCCTGGCACCCCAGAAGCCCATCCACGCGCCGGCACTCCTGGACGGGACTGCAGCTCCACTCTTCACAGGTAATGTTGTTGAGAGGTCCACATGTGCAGCGCCGGCTGCAGTCCTCGTTTCCCATCCAGTTCTCGCCCACCTGCCGGGGAAGAGGAGGAAGACAGAGAAGGCTGCTGTCAAGAGAGAAGAAAGACCCAGCTTGACTACTGCAATGCTCTCTCCATGGGGCTGCCCCTGAAGCGGACTGGGAGGCCACCACAGGTTCAGGAGGCGGCAGCTGGGCTGGCGTTGGGTGCAAAGAAGTTTGAGCCCATCTCCCCAACTCCTTGATGGCCTGCATTGGCTTCCTGTCCCTTTCAGGGCCAGCTTCAAGGTGGAGGTTTTGACCTAGAAAGCCCTTCATGGTTTAGGATCCCACAACTTGTAGAGGCATCTTTCCCGCCGCCTGTCAGCCCATGCCACCCAGTCCTCGGAGGCCTTTGCTCCTTTGGGTTTCCGGGTGCAAGAGTGGGAAAGAAGAGAACAAAAGAAGAATCCACGCTGGAACTTTTTGAAGGGGGGAACTTCCATGCCCTGCATTCCTACTAGCGGTGAGCCGGTTTGTGCCTTAGGACGAGTGCGCTCAGCTGCACTCCAGAAAATGCAAACCTTCCTTCTTCCCGTTCCTACTCCTTTCTCCCAGTCCCTGCTTCTTACCGGATGGTATTGCCCCTGCGGGTCGGTGCAGCCGCACTGAGCGAGGGGCACGCAGTGGTCTCCGCTAAGAACCATGCCTTCATCACAGACACAGCCCTCCACGCAGGGCATGTTGGGGCAGCTGGTCGAGGAGCCGGTACAGGTCGCGGGGCAGGCTGGACCACAAGGGGTGTAGGAGCTGCCCGTGGGACAGTTCAGAGCTGGAGAGAGAATTAAAAAAATTTTCTTTAAAAAAAAAAAGAGATGTAAAAAATTTTCTTTGAAGAAGTAGCTGTGTTACTCTGTGCTAGCCTATCAGGCCAGAAACAAAATAAAAATAAAAAAATAAAGAAGACCAAAACATGGCATCTACAGGAAGCCAGATTTCAGCTGAATATCAGGAAAAAAAACTTCCTAACTGTTAGAGCAGTAGAACAACGGAACCCATGACCTTGAGAGGTGCTGAGCGCTGCAACACAGGAGGCCTTCGAGAGAAAATTGGACCACCCTTTGTCCGATCTGCTTTGACTTGGATTCTTGCCTTGAGCAAGGGGGGGTTGGACTAGATGGCCTTCGAAGCCCCTTTCCATGATTCTGTGATTAAAGACTCACTGCTATGTCCAGGAAAGCTCACATTAAAATATTGCAGTTATTCTTTAAAGTGCCTACACGGAGTGGAAAGCAGGGTTTCTCTGGGGCAGCGCTTGGGGTGGGGGGGTCCCTGAGCAGAATGAGCGAGAAGGGAGCCACACGGAGGAGACGCCCGATCGCCACCTCTCCCAAATCTGTCTGGCCGCCTTTTAAAGAGCAGGGATGGCCGAGGAGGAAGGTGGTGGACCCTGGAGACCCTTATGCTCAGAGCCTGGGGGGGTCCTCCGACTGCATCACAGGCCGAAGACGGGTCAAGAGACAACTCACGGCAGAAGCTGCTGTTCCTCCAGGCAATGGGCACCCCGGCCTGGGCGCAGCGGTCGGCGTAGGACTGCAGAGCGAAGCAAAGGATGCTCGCGTCTCCTCCGGTGCCGCACAGGTCGTACACGCAGTTCTCGAAGGCCCCGTCGGGAGGCACCTTGCTGTGGCACGGGGCAAACGGACCTGGGGGGGGTTGAGGGGCGGAGAAGGGCTCTTAATGATCAGCAGCGCCATGTCGTGGCAGACGGGGTGGTGGAGGAGGAGAAGTGGGAAAGAAACCCAGAGCGCTTGCCCCCTTTTCCTAGGGGAAACCAGAAGGTTTTCTCTGCATGTCCCATTCTGCTGAATGGCTGGGGAAAGGGGGCCAGAGAAAAGCCACATGCAACAAACAATGGAAGAATAAAATAAACACCCTACGGTGGTTGAAAACAGCAGCCCTGGCCCCCCTTCCCTCGCAAAGACCCCAGAAAGGCTGGCTCTCTGGTGGGCATGTAGTTAGCCAAACCCCTCTCTGGGGAACCCCCCCCCCCACCGTGTCTCACCATTGGGGTCTGTGAGGATCCCACAGCTGGCAGGTTTCTCAGCTTCGGTCTTGATATCCTGGTCGCATTCTCCCGGGTTGCCCGTGTTGGTGCAGCTGCAGGTTTGGGAAAAGGGAGGGCGTCAAAGGTGAATGGGCATCCGAGGAGGGATGCTCACATTGGATGAGAATGCCCATCGCCCCCACCGAGCAACGTGGGTGGGGACAATGGGACGTATGGTAGAAGAGATCTGGAGGGCCCCAGAAGGAGGGAGGGAGGCAGACGGACACGTTCTGACACACCGATCTGTGCCTTTTCATGTCCTTCACTCCTAGGGCTTTTCCACAGACGTCCCAGAAAATTCCAAGGAACGGAGAGTTGGGAATTTTTCGTGAGCCTCTTCATCCTTTAGGTAGGATGTCAACACACACACACAAACACACACAACACCGCACAGCCAAGAACTTGCCATCCCTCTATCAGGACCACCAGGCCACGAAATGAAATTCTGCGCCATGCCAGTGGGCGATCATTCTAGGGACGAATGATGGCGAAGGTTCTTTTGAGGATAATAAAAGACACACACACCCCGCGCCTCCCTGTCTCCCATCATCCTCGGAGTCCCCGGCCACCTCACTCCCTTCTGCTCCCACAATCAAAGGATCTCCGTGGGCGAAGACGTTTGGGGCCAAGAATCCGGAGCGATGAATTCCGGATCTTTGGGGCCCAATGCAGTCCAGGAGAATTTCCTGGAGGAGGGATGCTTTCTCCCCAAACGTGCTCCTCCGCGTTCTTCTTCCGCAGGGAGCCCGAGTCCATCTCCGGCCAGCTTGGGAGGAAGGTCCATGCTCTGCCATGATGCATCTCCCTTCGCGGAAGAAGGATGCACCATGTGGAATGGGGTCAGTCCCAGAACATGGGCACCGTTCGAGGCAAAACGGAGACCCAGGTTTTCTCCAGAGGGGAGTTTTGAGCCAAGGCGCCGAGGACTCACCCAGGGGAGTCTTCGGCATTCGGGACCTGCCAGCTCTCGCCCAGTCTGTCTGCATCCGTCCCGGCCGAGGTGCCGTCTGGCATCAGGTTGTCATCAGCTCCCTGCCCGTTGTAGTTCCCTGAAAAAGGGGAGCAGCCGTAAGAGAGAGGGTGTGTGTGTGTCTGTGTGTGTCTGTGTGTGAGAGAGACTCAGGAAGTAGGAGAAGGGAGACTCCTGCTGAAAAGACAGAGGCCAAATCCAGGAAACCAGGCGGTGGCCTGTTTCTGTTCCTACTCAGACTTCTTCTCGGAGAACCGGAGGATCCTGCCTCTCACATTGAACCAGGACTCCTTCAACGCGTGGAGGGCATGCAGAGATGGGAAGAAAAGAGCCACAAGTAACATCGTTACCTCATTTGTAATGAGTTACCCTTTGGGACAGGAAGAAGATTAAGAAAGCAATACTGTATTTAGAAAGCAATAGGACAGACAGGGGCCATGCTTTGCAGTGAGCGAGATCCTCTGGTTAATTGTTCAAAGCATTTTGAGACCTCTCAGGGGCATTTTGGCCTGTTCCTCTCTTATGCAGAGATTGGAAATCATTATTTTGGGGGGAAAATGTCTAGCAGCCCACCAGGCAGGGGGATTCTGGGAGTTGCAGTCCAAGAAGCTGAGCATCTCTTCCCCCCACCCATTCACCCCCACCCCGACAGGGCGCTCCATCCACCCCACTCACCACAGAGACCACAGAGCTGCCCGATGTAAGACGACGGGGCAGAGACCTCAACGTGGTGATTCCCGTCAAATCGTACCCAGAGGCCAAAATCTGTCTGGACCAAAGCGAATGTTCCGCTCAGACGCACCGACACTTTCCCCTCGGCCACGGAAACAGGAAGCGTCACCCGCTGCCCGTCCACCTGCATTGCAGGGAGAGGCATTGAGAGATTGCAACAACCAACGGGGATGTTTCACATCGTTTCCCCCCCCCCATCACCATTCAGCACTGCCAAAGCCTCCTCTAGAGTCCTGTGTCCAGTTCTGGACACCCCACTTCAAGAAGGATGCTGATAAACTGGAGCAAGATCAGAGAAAGGCAACAAGGAGGATTAGGGGGTTGAAAACCAAGCCCTAGGAGGAAGGGACCGAAAGAATTGGGCCTGTTTAGCCTGGAGAAAAGGAGACAGAAGGGTGATGGGATAACAGGCTTTGAATATTTGAAAGGCTGTCATATACAGAGGAAGGGCAAGATCTGTTTTCTCCCTCATCCCAGATTGCAGGACACATAAAAAGGGGCTCAAGCGACAGGAAACCAGATTTAGGCAGAATCTCAGGAAAAACTTGATAACTCTTAGCGCAGTACGCCAAGGGATCTCATGGCCTCAGGGGGAGGTGGCGAGCGCTCCAGCCCTGGAGACCTTCAAGAGAAAACCAGGCCACCCTCTGTATGATCTGCTTTGATTTGGATCCTTCTCTTGAGCAAGGGGGGGGTGGACTAGATGGCCTTTGAGGCCCCTTCCCACTCAATGATTCCAGGATTCCATGGCTGTGGAAGAGCGACCAAGGGTTTCGGGTCCGGAAGAAGGAACTCACGGTGACTCTGCGCCCCTTCAGCAGGACGATCTGGATGCCGTAGACTTCCACCCGGACGGACTTGACGTAGGAGACCTGGGTGTTTGCTCCTCGGTGTTCGTTGGTCGCCTGGACCTGGAAGAGGGGCAGGCCAGACGTGGCATTGCAGACGGCGGACAGCAGGTAGGTGCAGGTGCCCATGAAGTGGAAGAGACGGCCATCGTAGGTGGTGTAGTGGGGGTCTCCGGAAATGGTGCAGATCTCTTGCTCTGTGGGAATAAGAGGCACATGACCGGGTGGGGGGGGCAGTGAACATAATACTTTCCAGCCACCATTCTCACTACCACGACAGGTCTAAGCTAGGCAATACACTGAGGCTGTTCCCTGAGTATCGAAACAAGCCTGCATTATCACCATGCCGCTGCCGTCGCTCCCATATCTTGCATTTAGCGTGCTTTCTCTTCTGATCGGACACTGGAAGGCCAACCTGGGCTTCACCTGCAAATTGGATTTGCTGGGCCACCTGTCTCTGAGGAACTCCCTTTTCCAGGGGAGGAAACGGGTGGGTGGAAGAAATATACTTCCACACACCCCCTTTAAATTCTGTTTTGACAGAAGTCAAAGAGAAACTTTACCCTCCAGAGAACTCCAAAGGCTCGGTCCTCTTCCTTTACTCTCAGCTAACCCTGACTGACTTTTTCTTGACAAATTGGTCATTTTAAAAATCACCTTCTATTTTCAGCTCAGGATCTCTCTGGGCGGCTTCTTCCCCTGACCCCACCCTATTTTTTTTCTAGAGACGGATCCCTGGCTCTCAGCTTTCCTTTCCTCTCTCTCATGCCAGGAAGCTCCCGAGGTTTTTACCAGGAGGCGCCACGGGGGCCGTGCTCGTGATGGTGCTTCTTGTAGAGGCCTCTGGCGTGGGAGGGAGCTTTGTCGTGGTGGTCCGAGGCTCTGCTCCGGGGGTTGTTGTAACCACGAGGCCGGTGGTGGTGGTTCCCGGGCTGGTTATCTTGGTGACGGTAGTGGGGCTAGAAGCGCCGGCTGTGTGGTTAGTCGCAGGCGGGGTCGTGCCTGGCACCGCGTGGGGGGTGGAGTGAGTTGTGTCGGCGTGGCTCGCAGTAGTGGTGGTGACACTGGCGTGGCTGCTGTTGGTATTCGTCAGGCCAGAGGTGGTGGGACTGCTGTGGGTGCTGGCTGGGGCTGTAGATACCGGTCTTGTGGCAGCTGGGGTGCCTCGGCTGGTGGACGTGGCATTGACGTGGCCCACAGTGGCTGTTGGGCTGGTGGTGGGAATGGCATGGCTAATAGTGGCTGGATGAGAGCTGCTGTAGTTGGGCGGCGGGGAACTAGTGGAGAACGGCTGGCCGTGGCCTGTGGTACTAGTGGCATAAGGACTGGTGGGTCCGCCGTGAGTGGAACTAGTGGTACTGGAGTGGGGGGGCTCACTGTGGCCTGGCGTGGTGAGGGTGGTGGCCTTCTGACTGGAGGCGAGCGGGGAGGTGGGACCAGCTGTGGTCGGTTTGGCCTGGGCGGTGGTGCCTGAGGTAGTGCCCACGTGGCTAGGGCCACTAGGAATGGCAGAGGAGTTAGCTGGTTTGCTCGCAGGCTCTGTGTTGGGTCCCGTGGCAGGAGTGCTGGGGGTGGTTGTATAGTTGGCAAGACTGGTCGTGGCACTGCTTGTACCGTGGCCAGCCTGACTGGTCAAAGAGGCAGAACTGGTGGTGTTTGGGCCAAGAGAGATTGCCGTGGTGGTGGTGGTGGTGAGTCTACTGTCGCCAGCCGTGGTGGCTCGGCTGGTGTGACCAACAGCCCCCGTAGATGTGGCATGGCTGGAGATGGAGGGTGTGGTGCCACGGGTGACCTGGCTGCTGGCGGTTTGGTGAGCACTGGTGTGGCCGGTGCTTGGACTCCTGTGGGTGGTGGTAGCCTGGTGGGTATTAAGGCTGGTGAGGCTGCTCACGGTGGTGGGGAAAGCAGCGTGGCTGGTCACTGTGCTGGCGTGGCCTGTGGTTGCACTCATGGTGCTGATGTTGCTTGGCTGGGAGGAGCTGCTGCTGGTGGTCAGGGTGGAGGCGGCGACGGAGCTGGGGGTCGTCTTGACGGCACTAGTGTGGCCGGTGCTTGAATGCCCACCCGTGGCGCTGGTCTGGCTGGTGTCAAGGGTGGAGTGGCTACTCAATGTGGTGGCCCGGCTGGAGGCTGCTGTCAGTGGCTGGCTGCTGGCATGGCTGGGAGTGGTGGGGCCGGTGCTAGGAGGCTGTGTTCTAGCTGTAGAAATGCTGCTGGTGGTGGTGGCGGTGGTGGTGTTCGTGGGGAAAGCAGCGTGGCTGGTCACTGCGCTGGCGTGGCCTGTGGTTGCACTCATGGTGCTGATGTCGCTTGGCTGGGAGGAGCTGCTGCTGGTGGTCAGGGTGGAGGTGGCGACAGAGCTGGGGGTCGTCTTGACGGCACTAGTGTGGCCGGTGCTTGAATGCCCACCCGTGGCGCTGGTCTGGCTGGTGTCAAGGGTGGAGTGGCTACTCAATGTGGTGGCCCGGCTGGAGGTTGCTGTCAGTGGATGGCTGATGGGAGCCGTCGCATGGCTGGTGGGACCAACAGTGGCACCAGGTGAGCTGCTGCTGGCGTGGCTGGGAGTGGTGGGGCCGGTGCTAGGAGGCTGTGTTCTAGCTGTAGAAATGCTGCTGGTGGTGGCGGCGGTGGTGTTCGTGGCAGGGCTAGCAGCTGAACTGACTGTGCTTGGCTGGACGTTGGTGGTGGTCGTGGCGGTGGAGAGGGCTGGGGGAGCAATTGAGGTGGTCGTGGCGGTGGAGAGGGTCAGGGTGGAGGCAGCGACAGAGCTGGGGGTAGTCTTCACAGCACTAGTGTGGCCGGTGCTTGAATGCCCACCCGTGGCGCTGGTCTGGCTGGTGTCAAGGGTGGAGTGGCTACTCAATGTGGTGGCCCGGCTGGAGGTTGCTGTCAGTGGATGGCTGATGGGAGCCGTCGCATGGCTGGTGGGACCAACAGTGGCACCAGGTGAGCTGCTGCTGGCGTGGCTGGGAGTGGTGGGGCCGGTGCTAGGAGGCTGTGTTCTAGCTGTAGAAATGCTGCTGGTGGTGGCGGCGGTGGTGTTCGTGGCAGGGCTAGCAGCTGAACTGACTGTGCTTGGCGGGACATTGGTGGTGGTCATGGTGGTGGAGACGGCGGGGGGAGCAATTGAGGTCGTGGTTGTGGTGGTCAGGGTGGAGGCGACAACAGAGCTGGGGGTCGTCTTCACAGCACTAGTGTGGCTGGTGCTTGAATGCCCACCCGTGGTCATGGTCTGGCTAGTGCTGACGGTGGAGTGGCTACTCAATGTGGTGGCACGGCTGGAGGCTGCCGTCAATGGCTGGCTGATGGGATTTGTAGCATGGCTGGTGGGACCAACGGTGGCACCAGGTGAGCTGCCACTGGGGTGGCCAGGGCTTGGAGGGTAGGTGGGACCCACAGAAATGCTGGGGCTACTGGTGGTCCTGACTGGGGTGGTGGAAATGGAGGTGGCCCCTGGGCTGTTGTGTCGTGTTGTGTGTGTGCTGCCGGGGTGCCCGGTGGTGGTTCGGCTTGAGCTTGCAGGACCAGCGCTGCTGCTGCCGAAGTGGCCGGTGGCCGTGGTCTTGCTGGTTGGGCTCGTGGCAAGGGTGACCGTGGTGGCCGGACTACTGCCGTGAGGGACCTCAGGTCTCGTGCTGGTGGAAGAGGCTCCAAGGGTGCTCCCTGTGGCTCCCCCAGCCGTGGAGCGGAAAGCTGTGGTTTGGGGCCGGCTAACGGTAGAACCCTGAGGGGTGGCGGCGGCTGGCGTGGCCTGCGTTGTACGGCTGGTGGAGGTGGGAAGGCACGTGGTCGGAGGAGCCGGTGGGACAGTCCCGGCAGGCCCGGCCTGGGTCAATGTGGCCACTGCAGAGGTGGCCGGAGGCGCAGGGGTTCCAGTGGCTGCTGAAAGGAGAGAAAACAGAACAAGGTGAGGGGGTGTGGGGGGGTGTGCGTGGCAGCCTCTCCGTGGCCCACTGCGTGGCTGATGTGACCTGTTTGACCTCAAGGCGCCACCAAGAGGGCAACTCAAGTGGTGACCTCCTGTTTCGACGGCTGTGTTCTTACTCAGCTCCTTGGCTCTGGTGTCCACCGATTGACCCCCACGGCCCTTTCCGGGGGGGGGGGAATTATCCTAATTATTCTCGTCAAGCAATTTCCAGCCCAAATCCACAAGATGATGCTTTGGAGAAATACTCGGCTCTCCGCACCCCCTGGATGTGGTCTCATGGAGCCATTGACTAGCTTCGAGACCCTTTCTGAATGCTGGACCCACAGCCTCTTCTTGAGAGGTGTGGAAAGAGAGGGGGCCTTCCCATGCCCCCCCCGGTCAGGGCTTGAGCCCCTTTGGCAGCACCTGGGCTCCCCCCCCCGACAAGAACGTAAACATATTTTTAAAAGTATA